TCTCTCTCTCTCTGTTTCAACAAGCAGTCTTCCCACAGCATTTCCACATGGACCTGTAAAATTAACTTAGACATTTAGCAAACCTTGCTCAGCGCCTCTTGTACCATGGCTTCACTCTCATTGTCCAGTGCTGAGGTGGCCATGTCCAAAAGCAGGATCTTGGGGTTTCGGACAAGGGCTCTAGCAATGGCTACTCTTTGTTTCTGGCCGCCACTCATCTGGCCTCCTCCTTCTCCAACAAGAGTGTCGAATTGCTAGGAAACAAGTGACACCAGTAAGGAAGAGGAAGAATTTGATGACTCCTGACAGAGTTCCATCATGAGGTCCTTTTTACCTTCCTCCTCAAGCATGAATTTTCACAGGTCCAGCTTTTGCTGAAAAAAATACCCTTTCCTGAAATAAGTTATTATCTCATCAATATTTGTATGCAAGATACATAAATTGATTTATTCTTTCATTCCCAGGTTCACTGGGCTGTACACATGTTTCTTTCTCTATCTCAACTTCAAATAAAATGTTTCCTCCAAAGTAAAAGTTGATCAGGTCCTAAAAATCCATTTTAGAGGATTAAAGCACAAATCAAATCCTTGTCTCTTTTTTCTAGCTGGACAACACAGAAAAACACAATGCTAAAGTTGTCTTTACATTGTTAATGAAAGACCAAACCAGCTTCAAAATCATTACCATCAACAGAAAATAGTTACTGAGTATCTTGCATGTCTAGCATTACATTGGAATCTCACAACAAAGTGTAAATATCAGACTTTTATCTTGCTTATTATTAGCCAACATCAGCTGAGCACTAACCATACATAAAGCATGGAGTTGAGCTCTTTACACATGTCATCTCGTTTAGTACTCACAGATGCCCTATGAGGTAGGTACTGCTATTCTCAATTGATGGATAAGGAAATTCTGGGGTACCAGGGGGTAAAGTAGCTTGCCCAAGTTCATAGAGGTTGCAAGTGGAGAAGCTGGGCTTTGTATGAAGGTAGTCTGGTGCTAAAGCTTTATACTCTTAACCACTAGGCTGTATCATACTCATGACTGCAATCCTATTCATACAGGTGATTTAGGAGGCTGAATAGGAAGTGTTCTAGAACACGGACTCTGGAGCCAGACCGCCTGGGTGTGAACCTTGTCTCTCCTGCCTTCAGCAAGTTGTTTGACCTCTCAGAACCTCAGTCCTCCACCTGTAGATGGGGAGAATAACAGCAGCTGCCTGAAAGGATGATTGTGAGGGTTAAATGAGTTAATAGATGTAAAGTGTTTAGAACATTGCCTGGTTTCTAGTTAGCCCTATATATGTGTTAACTGGTAATAATAACTCTTCTTTGACTTAGCTGAGTTATTGGATAAAAAAACCCATATAATTATAATAATACAGAATTGGTTTTTGTTGTTGTTTAAAATGAAAATAAACAAGGAATTTTTGAATATGCTGAGTACAGTACTGAGGACACAACATTAGCTGCCTAAGCTCAAGAAAATTTAAGAACAATGACAATGGTAGATATCAAAAGAGCATTATGCAAGTTACTGCCACATGACAAATTCACCATCTGCTTAGACAAATGCTTAATAGATGGAATAATAAGATTGTTTCTATGTTAAAGGGAGCTTCTAAAAGCAAGTTTCCCAGTTTGGTAGACTTTTAATATATTAACAACATGTTTTCAGACAAAGGGGAAAACTCATGGTACATTTTCAGGCATTAAACTAAAACGTAATATAAATTTAATAATTTAGGATTCAAATGGGGAAAAAATGCATATTATCATATAACTTTTGTTCCTTCTACAACTTCTGGGTTTTCCCCTGAAATGAGAGGCTAGGGGTACCTGTGGCAGGTCCATGATGAAGCTGTAGGCATTGGCTTCCTTGGCAGCTTGGACTATATCATCCATCGTTGCATCTTCTTTTCCATAGCGAATATTGTCTGCAATGGTGGTGGAGAACAGAACAGGCTCTTGCTCCACTATCCCAATCTGAGCTCTAAGCCATTGAATGTTAAGAGAGCGAATGTCATGGCCATCCAAAGTCACCTAGAGAACATGAGCACATCATATCTCTTGGAATCCTTTTGGGTTCTGAATCATAATACTATGTTGTACTTACTATGGGAAGAAAAAAATGGAGACCTACAAGATTGTAACAGAAACAATTCCTCTTAGTACTTCAAATATTTTTATTATGTTTTGACTTGTGACCTAAAATGGACTCCAAAAAATATAATGAAAATAAGCAATGATCCATATCTTGTGTATATGTTTGATAGTAAATCTTACTTTGTGGCCAGATTCATCATACAGCACTTTGCTATTCAAAAGCTATTGAAGCTGTTAGTGGGATGAGAAAATAAAAATTGCTATTAGAAAAACTGTAAAAATCTTACAGTAGGAAACCATGATTTGTATGTATTCAGAGTACAGTAATGCTGGTATATGGCACAAAAAAAAATACCCAATCTGAAAATGAAATTTCTGTGACATTGGAAAGTTCTGGAATGTTTGCCATGTTAGTGGAACAGTGCATGCATTACAGAGAACTCGTGGCATTGCATTTAATGTACACCAAATGATTCTATCTCAAGGCATCAAGGAGATATTGGCAAGAATGATTCTGAGTGACAAGGGTGTACCTTGGCATCAAGGAGAACTGGTTCAAACCAGGGGCAAGTCTCAATCTCCCTGACCCTTTTTCCGCATTTGTAAAATGGGCATATGTACCTTTGGCAATCATGGTGAAAACAAGCAATCGTTTTTACAAAGCACTTGAATTATAATATGGGATAAATAAATAGCAATTAGTATATTTATTTCTTAGTTTCAGTCTATATTTATAATAAAATAAACAAGGGATAAAAGCCTAAGTAGTTTGTCAAATTGTATATATATATTTTTTAAACCTAACTTCTTGAAGCAGTAATCAGAAGCTATTCTCTGTTCATTCAGGTTGTGTCCACTTTCCTACTCTTAGCACCTGGAGAACTTGAGGAAAATAATAATGATGTTGTTACAATACAAAGAAAGACATGAAAACCTTAGTTCACTGAAGAGTCAGCGATACCATTTTGAATGTATCTGCACTTTCAGTTCTACCACTGAGCGAATGGACTGCTTGTTCAACAAACACAGTCACCAGGCAGGCCACGGGTGCAGTCAATTCAATCAAAATCATCAAGTCAACTAGGAGTGTGTCACGATGGTCTCAGTGTATGCTAGGCCTTCGTGTTCCACCAATGTGTCACCATTTGCACCCTCCCACCCCCTAGATTGGGAAGTTTCTGGAAGACACACACCATGCCTTCACTGGGGTCGTAGAATCGCTGAATGAGCTGCAGGGCTGTACTTTTCCCGGCTCCACTGGACCCTACCACAGCCGTCATTTCCCCTGACTTAACGATCATATTGAGGTTGTTTAAAATCTGCAGAGAAAAGAAAACAATGTTCAGATTGTCAGCAATCAGGCTACACGTTAGGATGCTATGTGAGGACACTGTGCGTGAGTTTACTTATGCCCCATAAGCAATCAAGATCCATCGATATCCATCAATAAGAAGTCAGTTAGTAAACAGTACCTAGGATGAGGTTTTAGCATTTAGCACAGTACTTATTATTTAACTTGTAGCTGTGGCCAAAAAATAAAATGAACTTCACTTGAAGTTGAAGTAAATTAGCCATGCCAACTTTTAAAAGTATGTTCCAGAATCTATTTTAAAACATTTCTGACACACTGGCATACCTCAAGAAGACTGTCCCAATGACTTAAGGGAAGAAAGCCATCAAATTAGAAATATAATAGTAATTTGCTGATCATGGATTAATAATGAACTAATTTGGAAAGTTTAAGCTATCATTGTATTGTGTGTGGACATGTTATTTGAATAACTTTACCTAGCAAATACATGTAGTGTGTTTGCTAGGTACAGAGATCTGTTCAAGGCAGAGACTGAATGCTGGTAAGTCTAAAAAGGGAAGAACAGAAAGCTAACTCAAAACCATCTGTTGGGTATTTTCACCAATTCAGTCATGTTTTTTGTATTTATTATGTAAAAGTAGTTTGGAGTCCTCTGTATGAAAAAACCTCACGTGTCTTTCATTTCACACTAGAGAGTCAGGCTTGCAAATATATTTTCACTAAGTAGAACTATATTAGACTGTAATCTTCCCCCAAGGTAGGCAGGTATCAAATGTGCTTTTTTTAAAAATCATTATCCCACTACAACGTGGCACCCATTAAGGCTAAATGCATCATAGTCATATGAATGAAGAATATTTACATGTCTAAGTAAGCAGATTTTATTAAAATAAGCTGTTGGTATTGGGAATAGGAGATAAAACAAAAATGAAATAAATATGTTTTAATTCAACCAGTATTCATTAAACAGCTGTTATAAGCTGATTCTGAACAGATATCATAAAGGAAGTTTTTAGTCACCCATTCAAAAATCTTTACAGAGTTAGCATTACCTTATGTTTATATTTCACAAAGTACTGTTACTATGTTATGGCATTAAGTGTGTATATACATAATACATAACATGAATCAAAAATATCCTTCATAAATATAATCAGAATATATATATATACTTATGTTTTATATAAACAAATGATGAATGTGTATATATATTCATGTGTGTGTACGTATATATATGTACATGTACATGTGGTATCAGAATTAAGTTGCATAGGATTTAGTTCTGTGGGGAAACAGAAATATTATTAAAAATGGGTGGCTAGAGATACTCTGTTAAAAATGAGGAATAAGTCTCATTCAAAGCCAGTTCATTCAGGGGCAGTAGATTCTAATTTTCCTGTAGAGTAAATTGCCTTTAAAGATACTGTCTCAAGAGGTGCAGGAAAACTAAATTTTCTTCACCAAATGCCCTGGACAATCACCTAGTATGAGGCCTATGAGCATATCACAAGATTACCTTTTCTCCAAGACTGATCTAGTGGCCCAGGTGAGCTTACAGAGAGGAAGAGAAAAAGACTGCAGACAGCAGCTTTCCTTCACCGCTTCGTACCCCACCCTTTTTGAGTGTACCGCCTCTAAGGAGGTGGTTTGACAACGCCGTACTTCTTAATTGTTCTGATTGCCTTGAAGTTTATTGAACTTACGATTACAATGAGGACCCGCCACTCATTTCCATAGACTATCATACAGCTGACCTAACCGGAATGTGCTACTAGACTTGCATTTCTACCAGAGGGATATGCACATTATTGTCATCACAAAAGAATGGTGTCTGTTGCCTGAGAAATGATACAACACCCAAGGACACTTCCAGAGAAACGTGCTTCTGTTCCGGATTCCTGGAAGCTGAGTCATGCTTCAGCAAAACATGTAATGTGTGGCTCTGGAAATGAATCAGCAAAGAAGAAAATGCTGTTGTTCCTGGGGAAAAGGATGGCACTTACCTTCACCTCTGGTCTGGAAGGATAGTGGAAGCTCACATTATGGAATTCAATTTCACCCTTAATTCGATCCAACTTGTAACCGTCTTCTGACATGCAGTCAATGACAGGTTTCTGGGGTGGAAATACAAGGGATATAGCAACAATACGTATTAGATGCATTCACTGCCCATCTCAGTTTGAACTAACTCATAAAACAGAATAACAACCAGGTAAAACATTGCAGAGATATGCTAAAAAGAAGTTGCTTCCACATTAAATAATTATTAATAATAGTAATAATACTACCTTTTATTCAGATATTAATATGAGATACTATATTACTATGTATTAGTAGTAGTAATACATTATGTGACATACATAATATATTACTATATAAACAAACACACATAAATAATTAATATACAATTAATTTTAATTAATATAAAATATGCCAATTAATATATAATTGATATATAATATCACATTAATTAATTTTTTAAACATTATTTCTTTTCAGTTATAGTTGACACTCAATATTATTTTATATTAGTTTCAGGTGTACAACATAGTGGTTAGACATTTACATAATGTATTCAGTGATCCCCCAATTAGTCTAGTGCCCACCTGCCACTATACATAGTTGTTGCAACATTTTTTACTATATTCTCTATACTGTATTTTACATACCCATGACTATTTTGTAACTATTAATTTGTGTTTCTTAATCCCTTCTTTTTCACCCAGCTTCTCATCCTCCTTCCCCTCTGGCAACCATCAGTTTGTTCTCTGTATCTATGAGTTTGTTTCTCTTTTGTTTGTTCTTGTTCTTTAGATTTCACATATAAGTGAGATCATATGGTATTTGTCTGCCTCAGTCTGACTTATTTCACTTAGTATAATACCATCCATATTGTCACAAATGGTAAGAATTTATAGCTGAGTAATTGTCCATTGTATACATGTACCACCTATTTTTTATCCAATCATCTATGGATGGGCACTTAGGTTGCTTCCATATCTTGGCTACTGTAAATAGTTCTGCAGTGCCCATAGGGGTGCATATATCTTTTCAAATTAGTGTTTTGGATTTCTTTGGATAAATACCCAGAAGTAGGATTGCTGGGTGATATGGTAGTTTTATTTCGAACTTTTTGAGGAATCTCTAAACCATTTTCCATAGTGGATGCACCATTTTGTAACCCCACCAACAGCACACAAGCGTCCCCTTTTCTCCTCATCCTCGCCAACACTTGTAGTTTGTTGATTTATTGATGACAGCCATTCTGACAGCTGTGAGGTGATCTCTCATTGTGGTTTTAACTTGCATTTCTCTGATGATCAGTGACATTGAGCATCTTTTCATATGTCTATTAGCCATGTGTATGGTCTTCTTTGGAGAAAATGTCTATTCAGGTTATTAGTTATTGATATATTACTATGACATTGTATAACAATGCAATATATACTGCTGATTTATAATTAATATATTATTAAATAATATATTAATATTATTATATTATTGAGATACCATGGCAGACAATGTACAGCTGTTTTAATATGCTTTCTTCATTTATGCTTTCAACCTAACAAAACAGGTGATATGCTCATTCGTTCACTTCAGGAAGTAAGGAAGTCTTAGAGAGGTTAAATATCTTAAAGGCATACAACTAGTAAGCCTAGCCAGGGTCCAGCAGTGCTCTACATCTGAGTATGTACTATAGATGATAATGAATGTCCTCAAGTGGTGTCTTCAGATACTACCAACTTTTAATTGATATGCTGAATTTCACCTCTGTGTTGTTAGTAGTGAGCCAATCTAGAATTAGACCATTTCAATTAATCAGACAAGAATGAGGGCCATCTCCTGCTACCAGAACACTCCAGGGTCAGCTTTTTCCATCTTCCACACTCATGAGAGAAATTCATCATCATGTCTCTATTTGGGAGTACAGTGTCATCTACTTTCTTCTTGGGTCTCTAGTAAAAACAATAAACTATTTTTTAAATGCCTTAATTTTTTGTAATAGTTTCAGGGGCCTTTTAGACTCATCATCTTACTTGAGCATATAACAACCATAAAAATGAGAGAATTTGAATAGCTCAACATGTCTGTGTGATTTTCAATAATCTCTTTATACTGCAATATATGAAACTCTAAAATATAAAACAGAAAAGGTGATGAGAAATTTTCTCAGGCAGGTTATATGCCTCAGTTATGATTTAGGGGACCCACGAGGCACCTCTGGATTTCCAGGACTTCTGACTGCTTAGCCCAGGACACTTTTTTTTTTTAACAGAGGAAGAACAACATACTGCCATCTTCCTGCTCCTGTTCTTAGAGTTTGACTTTTTAGCTTGACCTCCCATGTGCTTCAATAGATTAACCAGGAAAATCCTAGCCAGAAAACCAGGGTCCTTTTTAAGCTTTTTAGAGACTTCTGTAACATTGAGGAAATAATCCAGTCTTATAAACGTGGCCTTAAATTCCTGTGTGATCTGGCCCCTTTCCATCCCTCTAGCCTCTATCCCTTGCTGACAATGTCAGGTCACGCTGACCTTGTTTTAGCTCCTTGCATTCACCAAGCCCTTTTCCAGTTTAAGGATTCTGTCTTCCGTGCTTACCCTCCCTGCTCTTGTCTCCCATTCACTCCTCCCCTCCCCCAGTCCGGCCATCGCATGGCTAACGCTCCTCCTTAAGCTCCCAGCTCAAACACTCCCTCCTCAGAGATGATGTCACAGTCACTCAATTTAAAGACGCCTTCCCCACCCCAATCACTATCACATTGATCTATTTTATTTCCTGTAGTGTGCTTATCACTGTCTAATGTTACCTTACTTTGAATGTGCTTACTTCCTTATTGCTTGTTTCCCAGTCCGATATGAAAGCAGGAGCCTTATTGGTTCTATTTCACTTTTGCACTCCCAGTTCAGAATGGGGTCTGGCTCATGATAGCAATTATTAAGTATTGCTGAATTAAAGGCATTGTGATAGTTCCTCATAATTTTTAACACTGAAGGTAAAGGCCTCAGGAGTGCATTCCTCTCCCCAACCCCTACCTATGAACGGCCTTTACTTTTGACTTTTACCTGGTCAATTGTCTCAAAAATGCTGGTGGCTGCTGCCCGCCCAGTTGCAAAGGCTTCCAAACAAGAAGATGCATTGCCAAGATTTAAGGCTCCTACTATGACACTGAGGAAAATCTGAAATGAGAGGAGACAAAGAGAGTTTTCACGTGTTTTTTGTTTGTTTTTTTTTCAATTTATAACCAGTGTTATCTTATGGGCTATCCATGTGAACTCAAGAGGTTTCAACCAACACAAAAAGGGTAGAATAGTGATATGAAAGTTTGCTTCGTTATATAAACAACCTTATAGGGGGGCAGCCAGCTAGCTCAGGTGGTTAGAGTGCAGGCTTATAACACTGGGGTTGCCAGTTCAATTCCCACATGGGCCACTGAGCTGCACTCTCCACAACTAGATTGAAGACAACTACTTGACCTGGAGCTGATAGGTCCTGGAAAAACACACTGTTCCGCCATAAAATTTCTAAAAAAAAACCTTATAATTTTTGTTGTGTTAATTGTCCCTGAAACAATAAAGACACGATGATTAGCTTGATTATCCTAGAGACTGGTACATGTAATATAGATCTGCTACTCTTGCTACTATTATATTACTGCTACTAGTATACGAGTTATTAAGATAGCTACTGCTACTACTATTAGTAATACTCTACTATTACTAGCAATAATAATAATGATAATAAGGTGTGTTTCTAAGTGCTTTACCTGTATTACTTCATTTAATCCTTACAACAGGAGGGGAAACAGAGATGTATGGAGGTTACCCAACTTACCCTATGTCACAACACATATTAAGCGTAGAACAGTATCTGCACCCAGGTTACTGGCTAACATTCTGTCTAGCTGCCAGGCTCGTCTGCTGGTGGCTGCGTGCATGTGGCATGGCCGGGTTCCTGTGCAGAGCTGTTCCTGTCCTTGACTCACCCACCCAGCCATCTCATTTAGTTAGATGGAGGCTGCCAGATCATTGACTAGACGTTCCTACCAAATAACACTGTTTTCATCACTGCTGTTTATAAAAAAAGAAGCAATGAGGCAATTCCTTACATTGGCCTCTAGGAGGAGCACAAGATTCCTTCTTTCCATGCTTTCAACCGAAGAATGATTGCTAGTCACGTGACTCACATGCACGCTGTTTCAGTAGTCACCATTTACTGGAGACTGCAGCTATTCACCGAGCTAAAGGTTGACTCATGCACAAATGTAGTCTTTTTCAGGCCATCAAATGTTCCTAGTCTGTGGTGGTTTCCATGAGCTGGATTCTTCCAAGTCCCTCCCACTTTCTTTCTTCTTTATGGCAGCACCATGGGATCTCTCAGAGCCTCCCACCCGCCTCCCTCCCTCTCCAGTGACCCCTCCATTTCACACATCAGGATGATGAGGGCCAGCCCCCTTTTGGCTTCTCCCTGAATTCCCCACTCTATGAACAAGGACAAACATTCTTCATCTGTCCTTCTTGCTCCTTTTCCTTAATTATGACAGGTAGTTCCTCCATGGGCAGATTACTTAATCTTTCAAGCCCCAATTTCTTTATCTGTAACACAGGGATAATGATAGTATATAGCTCATCAGATTGTTAAGAGGATTAAGTGAGATAATGCATGTAAAGGTGATTAATCCAGTTTGGACACATAAATAATAGTAATGATGATGATGGAAGAAGTGAGACTCTACACTTTGGAAGTGATAAGACAAACAGACAGAACAATAATTGTTGTGTAATTTGGGTTAAGACCACCTTCATCCAAGGTCTTCCTACCTGAGCACAGGAATCCTTCCACATGTCCTAGATCAGAAGTTGGCAAACGTTTTTCATAAAGGGCCAGATAGTAAATATTTTAGGCTTTTCAGGTCATATGGGCTCTGAAGCAATTACTCAACTCTGCTATGTAGTACAAAAGCAGCCATAGATAATATCACACAAATGGTTGTGACTATGTTCCAATAAAACTTTATTTAAAAAAACGGGCAGCAGGCTGGTTTTAGCTTGCAGGCCAGAGTTTGCTGACCCTTGGTCTAAATTCTAGACTGACTCACTAGGGTCCTACACTGAGGGGTGGGGTCAAATCCTTGCTCAGCCAGCCTTTGCAAGCATTACCTTAAATCAATGTTTCTTTCAGGATTCTTAGGGGAAGAGTGAATGAGACAGGATAGAGACACGCACCTAATACCTCACAATAACTAGCACACATTCCAACAGATCATTATTTCTCACCCCGATTATCACCCTTTAACCTGGTGGACACTAGTATGAGAAAAGAAGGGTGAGAAGAACCGCTGGGGAACAATCTATCTGTGGGTGTGCTGTGCTGGAGACAGGGGGACCTGTAGCCCCTTGAAAGACAAATCCAGGGGCAGGAAAACAGTGGTTAGAGGGTCAGGCCCCAGAGTCATAGAGACATCAGTTCAAATCCCATTCTATGCCACTTGGAACATATTTTCTCAACCTCGTGGCTCCATTTCATTTTTAAGTGGCAGTATAATGACATCAATTACAAGATGAAGTTGTGAGTATTACATACGGTAATTTTATTAAATGCCTTACTCAATGCTTCACACTTTATACACACTGAATAATATTACTCTCTAGTACTGCTATTATTTTTTATTGTTGAGTCCTGAAACTTAAGAGGGGCATGAAAGAGCAGACTTCTACACCATTCATTTCTCTTTCATCTTTTTTTCTAATAGATCACAGAGTATGTTTTTTGTCTATGTACAAGCGATACAAATTACAGTCATTTATGTGACCTAGCTACCATTTATACCAATTACCATGCAGCCAATAATGATTTTGTGCATCACAAAATTTGTTAGATTAACCTAATTGTTAGTTTAGTAGATTAAAACACTCAACTCAGCTCATGCATACTCAACCTTCACAGTTTTGCTGCTCAGAAGAATGGCCAAAAAGGTGCATGTATGAGAGAGAGAGAGAGAGAGAGAGAGAGAGAGAGAGAATCAATGATTATACTGTTAAAG